TCTTTTCACCCCCAAACATTTTTTCCTATATATATCCTACCCTATGAACGTCTCAAAATGTATTGAATTATAATCATTGTATAGAGATCATTCATTTGAAAGTTCAAATCACTTTCATTGATTTCAATATTCAACCACCATATTATTTGATTTATAGGTTTATCCAAACTTTGATTTGTTGATCGAGTTATAAACCTTCACGTTATACCACAGATTAAAACACACAAGATCATTGATCAAACACCAAACATGCCTTCACCAATTAGCCTTCAAAATTATTGGAGTCTTAGAAAGAGGTGCTTCAAAGTATATGGAGTTTTAGAAAGAGGGGTTTGGAGTTTCAACACTAAAGAACTAGGTTCTTGGAGGTGTACAAGAAATAAACGATATTAGGGGAGTTGAAGTGAGGAGTACGCGATCCAGGAGGGTCAAGGTGATTACAGAAAGATGATCAAAGGGGACTAAAGATTACTCGGGTTTGGACCAATTTTTCGTTTCTTTTTTGATTTTTTTAATTTAATTTATTTGAGATTTATTTGTACTTTAAAAAATTTTTTGGGAGTACGAATGTAATTTGTTCTTATTTTTGTTTTATTTTATTTAAATAGGATTGTATTTTTGTCATTTTACAATTTTTAATTTAGAAATTGAATAAAAATCGATGAAAATGATATTTTCCACAATGAAATATGGATGGGTGAAAATTTATAAATTTGAAACATAAGCATGTTCTACGCATTAAAAATCAAACGTATGAACATTTTATGTCAATAAGTCTACAAATTTTATTGCTTGTCTTTCTTATTCATTTATATATAATTTATTACCGGGACAAAATGATATCTTAGAGAAACCTAGCCCCACCATTGGGAAAATCAAGGAACCTTTCCACGACACCCATGGAAAATTCAGTCCATACTTTAACAATTTATTCTTTCTTTCTCTATGTCTTCTTATTAATTATATTCAATCTCTTTTGATTTAGATAGAAAATAATTTTTAGTAAATTTTGATAAAATTAATAAAACATTATTAAAAATTTGTGAATCATATGAAATATATGATTAAAATTAATTGTTAATTTCAATTTAAATTTTAACTTAAAAATCTAACTTATTTGTGATTGAGATGGCAAAGAATAAAACATATCAAAAATTCCAAAAAGAATTATTTATAAAGTTTAGATTAATGACTAAAACGCGCATTCTAGAGGAAATAACCAGTAAAATTGCCAATTAAATATTGGTCGAGATTAGGTATGAACTTTTGACACAATTATTAAGTTCCTTCAAAGAATGTTGATTTTTATTAACTATTTATTAATTTCTTGTTTTTAGTTTTATTATTCTTGAGCCAAACGCCAGTTGAAAGACTCGATGCCATGTTCAGCTGTTTTACAACAATGAATTCTTTTAAAAATCTGCTAAATATAATCACATCTTTTTCTCTTTCTAATGTTAATTATTCATGAAAAGATTACCTTAAAAATAATCAAATATATTAACACCGATAACCATGACTTAATTTAGAACAGTTTTAATTGTTCTAATTTGTAATAATCATGTAAAAAAGAAACATTATTACAGTCCAAGTATATAGAAATTAGTCCAAATCCAAAACCAGAAGCTTATAATTTGTACTTTTCATGAAAACTTCCACTAGAATTTAATCACGCATTTAATTACTATTCACTTATTCAAGATCACTCATTTTTATTTATTTATAAATTAATTTGTTATTAATTCTTTCAGAAATGAAGGCTAGCTGCGGTAAAATTTGAATTAGGACAATTATATTCACGTAACAATGTTTATTAATACTATTACATTTCAATTGCAATGAAAGTCCTTGAACTTGTTTATTTTCACACTTACATCTTCAATATTTTTATCGAATTTTTATCCTCGATCTTCTATTAGTTAGCACGTCTTGTTCATAATGACAGTCAAAACTTCCTTATGAGAAAGCAAAAGATTTATTTGTCACTAATAATTTTAAATAATTAAAATAAACAACAAATTAAAATTTCTACAAAATTTATTATAGAGCTCATTTGGACAGAAACCAAGATCACATACAAGATATATTAATTAATAATTGGTCTTTGAAGATAAAAATGTGACAAAAAAACATTTGAGATATAAGTGAGAAAATGAGTAAACTTAATTAAAGACCATCATTACAATTAAGATTTGGTGCGGTTAACAAAAATAATGGCACGTAGGGATGTAGTCAAGTCGAGCCGGCTTGCGAGTCTAAGGTGTTGGCTTGGTCACGGCTCAAGTAAAAAATGTCTCGGACTTTTTTGGCAAGCATATAAATAATCATAGAAATATCACAAGCGACCTTTTTTTAATGATTAACCATACATCCTGATGATTCATAATTTCATCTATCTTTGCTTTTTCCAAATGAAACAACAAATAATTCAGTTAATTTAGAGAGGTCTATAACAATAATATCAAGCATTTTCTACCCACAATTTTCTATGCTTTCATTTTCTTAATGTCACTTTCGAGTGCTTGTCATCTTTCATCTTGTTTTTACGTCCATACAAAGCCGTCCCTAGTGTATATCACTATTGAAGAATAATAATTTATGATTATGTGATCGCAACTTATAGATAAATTAAA